GAAAAAAGAGATTCAAAATTAAAGCAACAAATGCAAGGATACCTGGGAATAAACTAAGTGCAGAAACCATAAAACCGCAGGATGAGAAGACAGTGTGTGTGACAGGCCTGTCCTGGGTTTTTGGTCTGGAAGATGCACAATGCAGTCCCTGTCAAAAAGAGTTCAAAAAGAAGCTTTGTTTTTTTATGTTTTGGGGATGAAGGATGTAACAATTATTCTAAATTTCACCTGCATAAATAAAAAGAAAAAAAAGGAAAGCAGGGCCAAAATGATTTTCCAGAAGAAAAATCCTGAAGAAAGTCTTACCTTGCCAGATACGAACATGTAACAGAAACCTATTTCCTGCCTAGGGTCTTTAAGGCATGAGTCCTTTTAATAGGTTAGGTTAGAAACAACAATATCCAAAAATGTTCTTTGTGTGTCTGTGCAGGGGAGGGCATGGGAAACTTTCCGCAGCTGCTTTCTGATCCCAGTGGGCAGAAGAAGAGTGTTTTCACTGAGGAAAATAGGATCTGGTCTCTAGTCTAGATTTCAGCGACTAATGTGGCTGTATAGATGACTTCTAATGTGTATAACCTCATCATTCTAATGCTATTTCTGGTTACTCCATTATTTTTTGGCCACCTGTACCTTTTCATGTGTCTGTTTAAAAGAAAACATTTCTTAAAGTTTTCTCAAGATCTTACAGAAGTACAATTTGTTTTGAAGACTTACAAAAATGTCTTAGCACTGAGACCTACCTGGTTACTAGGTAAAATACTTGAAATGAATAAATCTTTTAGTTTTAAAAATACCTAGTAGAGGGGTCAACCTGTACATTTGGTTGCAGGCCAGATAAACAAATTCACACTCAGTTAACCATAAAATACAGGTGATCAGAACCCCTTCCCCTCTTGGCCCACTTTAGCTGGCTGAAAATCTGTTTACTTTTAGGTTGTAGAAGATGATGATGACGATGATGTGATCATCATGTTTATTGAGCTCTTAGGCTATGGCAAGCATGATTCTGAGAACTTTCCATCTACTTACTTGATTATTTACCATCACAAACCTATGAGTTCTCCTCATCTCAGAAATGGGGAAACTGAGCCCAGCAGGTTTGAGTGACCTGCCCAGGATCACAAAACTAGGGGTGGCGGGCTCAGGGTTTGAATCCAGACATCCTGACTCCAGGTTTGCTCCATTCACCGCTCCCCCACGGTTTCCTGTCTGTGTTTCATGAGTAACATTGTCTCTGTTGATCATATGACTTTCTTTTCAGTCGGCAGTATTGACCTAGTGATGGCTTTGTTGTCTGACCCTTTCTGATTCAGACGGTGATGCTGGTCATGTGAATGGAATTCTGCCTATCTCTTCTCTGCTTCCCTTCCTTCCATTCCATGGTCTTCCCGGTGCCTGACTGGCCCTGGGCCGGCATCGGGGTGACCCCAGCAGTGCCTCTGCCCCCTTGGAGCCTGGCTTCCTTGTGCACAATGAGCAGACTGAGCGAGGAGGTTCTGAGGCTCCTCTCCCAGCTCTGAAGCCTCTCCTTTCTTTCCCCATATTTTTCTACCTGCTTTTAGCCAGGTGGAAGCACTATGTGAACCATCCACAGACCTCAGGACCACAGCAGGCCCCCTGCACAGACATCACTTTGGAAACACCCTCTGACAACCCTAACTCCCTCTCTCGTCCTCATCTTGAGTGCTGTTAAGTGCTGCCACGTTGTGCCTACGGTGCTCAACAGCAGTGGATGTGCCCCAAAACTCCATTAGGATAATCTGTTCCAGACAGAGGGTCCTGCCCCTGGGCCTGGTTAGGACTCCGGGTGGCCCATTAGGGCCTGGAACCTGGCCAGAGGCCACATCATAGCAACTTCCACGCTCTGGGTGTGTGATGGGCCCTTAATGAGGCAGGGACTTGGGTTTCCGCGCATGTTTGCTTATTCTGCTACGGGGCTGCCAACCTGCCGAGCCAGGGGAAATGCTCACGAATAGCCGTGAGTCAGGGGACTGGCATTTCTCAAGGCTCCGTGGCTTAGAGACAGGTTTCCTCCACCACTCCCAAAATAACCAGGTTTGATTGCAGCCTCAGAAAATGCTCTGCCTGTTTCTTAAAGTTGTATAAATCTGTTCCTTAAAAATATCCCTTGAAGAACTCTGGAGGAAATTGTATGTGTCCAGTCTTATCAGTGGTTTTGCTAATGCCTTGGTCGTGTTGTCTTGGGTGCTGTGTGGAAGGTCGCGGGGGGCTGTGTCTGTCACTGAGCCATGGGTATCACCCAAGGCATGAACTTCATGACCAGTGCCTGCTGAGCACTCATGGGTAAAGAAGGTGGCATGTGCCCCTGCCATCCGAGGTCCAGCCATTGAGAGGGGCACACAGATGAGGGACCAAGGTCTTTCTCCAGTAGGAACTTCATACTCTTTTTTTTTTTTTTTTGAGTTGGAG